CTACATGAAAAGGAAAACATCAAAATTTGAGGGACATAGCTAAATCAGTACTAAGAGGAAAACTGACAGCACTAAATACTTAGAATACAGGAAGTCTCAAATCAATAACCTAAGCTCCCATCGCAAGACATTAAGGGGAGCAAAATGAACCTAAAGCAAGCAGAAGGAAGGAAATAATAAAGTGTAGAAATCAGTGAAGCTGAAAACAAAAACAATAGGGAAATTCAATGAAATAAAAAGCTTGCTCTCTGAAAAGATCAATAAAACTGACAAACCTATAGCAAGTCTGAAAAGAAAAAAAGAAGATATCAGAAATGAAATGAGATGTCACCACAGAGCCAGCCTGCAGACATCAAAAGGATAATAAGGGAATATTATGAACAACTGTACACACTAAATTTGACAAGTTAGAAGAAATGAATCAATTCCTTGGAAAGCACAAACTACCACAACATATCCAGTATAAAATAGATAATTTAAATAGTCCTATAACTATTAAATGAATTGAATTGATAATTTTTCTTGAATTGATAATTTTAAAACTCAGAAAAAAAAGACTAAAGATAGTTCAGTTCAGTCGCTCAGTCGTGTCCGACTCTTTGCAACCCCATGGACTGCAGCACACCAGGCCTCCTTGTCTATCACCAACTCCCGATGTCTACCCAAACCCATGTCCATTGAGTCAGTGATGCCATCCAACCACCTCATCCTCTGGCGTCCCCTTCTTCTCCTGCCCTCAATCTTTCCCAGCATCAGGGTCTTTTCAAATGAGTCAGCTCTTCACATCAGGTGGCCAAAGTACTGGAGTTTCATAAGTAAAGTGTTTGGCATAATGACTGGCAGACTAGCTAATACTCAATAAACAATGGTCATTACCATTTTATTTAAATCATCACAACCTCTCTTGGGGAAACTGAGACTTCACAGAGATGAAATCCTTTGCTAAAAAGTAACAGAGTCAGAATTTGAACCCAGATCTGAAGCCAGTGCCAATTTCCCTAGAGTTTAAGAGTTCACACCACAGCCACCACGTTGGGAATGTGCCAACAATACTTCCTTTATAGATAGGAAAACTGTAAAGGAGTGAGGTTTTGTCAAAGCCCCAGATATATGCTTGCCAACTAACTTCCCCCACTAGTGTACAACAAGGTTTCTCAAAAGTTAGGATATATCAGAATCTACCTGTTTGTTAAAATAGACTGCTGGGTTCCAACCCAAGAATTCACATTTTTAACAAATTTCCAGTTAATGAACCACATTTTGAGAACAAGTGTACAGTTACGATATGTTAGCCCACCCATCCCACAATATCAGAAGCTGTCACACTCCACAGAATGGGAAGGAATTGAGACAGAATAATACTCTAAATCAGTGGTTCTGAGAGTGGCTCCCACTCACATACTGAATCAGAAATCCTGCAGGTGGGGCCTACCTATCTCATTTTTTAAGAGGTCTTCCAAGTGATTCTGATACATGCTAAAGTTTGAGAACCACTGCTCTACAAATCAAAGTGCTCTTCAAAATCCAGCCCTTTACAATAGACGAATGGAGCTATACCTTGTTTTTTCCACTTTTGAGAATCTGGTCTCAAGCCAGATAATTCAAAGTTCAAATCTAGACTCAAAGAGTACCTTAACTTCCATGAGTTCCAGATTCTCACCAGCAAAATGGAATAATCATCTTTCTTGTTATAACCTTTCCAGGAAGTAACATGGCATTACTAACCCCTAACTGGATTTTAAGAAATCTGGCCTTTGGAAGTCATCAGAGATATGAACAGATTTATATCATCTACAGGCATCTGTGGGCTTAACTACTGTGGGCAACCATGAAAAATGCACAATATTTAGTAATTTTCAATTATACTAAAGTACTTTGAGCTTAGGATATGTGTATATGTATGTGTGTGTGTGCATGTGCATCTGTGTGCATGTGCGCAATGCACTTAGTAACCAAGAATAGCCACCAACCAAGGACCTGATTCTCAGCTGGCTTCCTTATTCTCTGGCAGTCCAAAGAAAAACACGGTAAGAGATAAAATTTTGGTCTCTTTCATGGGGAAATAAATTAAGGCAGTTAACTTATGGCAGGGTATGCACAGAAACACAGGACTCACCACAAAAATGTGATTAAGAAGGGGCCTGGACCATAAACACATTTTCATATTGTAAATTTGGAATTCTTAAAGGCCTCAGTGGTACTCCATATAAATGTCAGGTCTCTACTGTGGAAAGATGCTTACCACAATGTTTTCCTTTTTGTTTCAACCAGCACCCAAATAAAAATGCCAAACATTTCCAGAAACCCTAAAGTTTCCCTCATATCATAGTATTATTTATAATATAAAAAAGTAGAAACAACCCAAGTATCCAACCTCAAAGGAAATGACCGAGTAATGATGACACAGATATATGATGGGATATCAGAAATCATGTTTAGATCAATATTTAATGACCTTAACTTTATAATGTTAAGTAGGAATAAAAATCATGTTACAAAATGGTGTTTATAATACAATCCCACATTGTATTGGGTTGGCCAAAAAAACTGGTTCAGGTTTTTCTATAAGAGGTTTTATATATATATATAATATTATATAAGAGGTTATATATATATAACCTCTTATAGAAAAACCCAAATGAACCTTTTGGCCAACCCAATAAAATATATGTTTATATTCTAAGTCAAACGATGGGAGTTAATGCAACAAAAAATTAAACAGCAGATTGTGCTGGATAAAAGGCCCATGGATGATTTTTATTTCCTTCTTTATTCTTTTCCTGTATTTTCTACAATAAGCATGTCTCATTTACACAATCAGGAAAAATTTTTTTAATATTATTTGAAAACGAAATATCTAACTTTCAGGCTTGGATTTGCATTAGATGAGATAAATGGATGCCAAGTCTCTGTCATGGAGCCTGGCACACAGTAAGCACTCAGGAAGCATTCATTCCTATTTCCTGTTCCCACAATGCAGAGTTAGGGTGTCTGTACTGTGTGCAGAAGTTCACTTTTCAGGTTTAAACCTGCACAATCCAAAGCAAGGGCCACAGGCAATGAATCAAGAAGATTCATTCATTTGGTCATTGAAAAATGTACTCAGCATCTATAACATGTTTAGCATTGAACTAGGTTCTGAGGATACCAAATATGGAAAGATTGCATCTCTGCCCTGAGGTAGCTCTTGCTAATGAGTGACAACAATATATTTATAACTATGATATGATGAAATAATTACTTTCAATAAGAATATACATAGTGCCATGGGAACCTAAAAGGAGGCCTTCTACAAAAGAGGTACGCTATGAGTTGCAAATGGAAGGACATTAGTGGGAATAGCATGTGCAAAGACAAAGAGGCACAACGAAGTATAAAATCTCCCCAGAACTATAAGTAGTTCAGTCTTTCTGGGATATAAAGAACAAGGGAGGAGGAGTGGTGGTAAATGAGACTGAACAAGTATATCACAAAAGGTTTTGTCTGTCACACAAAAGAGACTGATTTTTATTCTGTAGGAGGATCACTGAAAGAATTTTAAGCAGAGGAATGACTTGATCAGCACTAGCAAAGATACCAGAAATCCTGAAAGACATCTTTTTTTTTTCTGAAAGACATCTTAATCCCATTTCCAGGGGAAAGAAAAAGGCCCCATCATCTAAGTCTGTCCCCTCTTAAATAAAATAATATGAGGCAGTAAATAGAACTCTGCACCTGGCACACAGTAAATACTCAACAAAGATCAGCTCAATATGAATTTGGATGTGCTGAATGGGGCAGTCCCTGCTAAGAGTAGAATTTTACTAGTACCAACACCTTCAGTTTGGTCTTGGGTGTGGTAACAGGAACACCTCCTTTGGAAAGTGTACGTGTGGTCAGTCACTAAGTCATGTCTGACTCTTTTCGACCCCATGGACTGTAGCCTGCCAGGTTCCTCTGTCCATAGGATTTTCCAGGCAAGAATACTGGAGTGGGTTACCATTTCCTCCTCCAGGGTATCTTCCTGACCCACGGATTGAACCCGCGTCTCCTGTGTCTCCTGCATTGGCAGGTCACTAGAGCCCCTGTGAAGCCTCCCTTTGAAAAGGACTGATAACAACTGAAAATTCTAGAACCTAACAACATGCAACAGCAGGAGGGCGCCATACACTGTTTTGTTGTACTCCAATGTACAAATCCTCTCATGGTTTTCTTTCCAGAGCTGGGACATAAGTCCCAATAATGGGATACTATTACAGGTTTATTCCACACACTAACCTTTCTGGAATCCTGGGTGACAGGTGCTTATGTGCACACATGGTTACCTGGAGGGAATTCATTAGTGGTTTTACCCTACTGTTTTACCCAGTATCTCCTCTGCCTAATTCAATTTACCTGGATGGTTCTGCAGCTAATACTGTAGAAATAAAATACTATTGCATTTCTGCCTCCATTTACTAGGTGCATGCAAAAATGCTTTAAATAAAGAGGAAGGATGTATTAGATATATTTTATCTAATAGATAAAGAAAACACTCTGTCTGCCTGAAGACAAAGAGGCTCAGAGAAGCAAAGCAACTTGTCCAAGGTCACTCTGATAGTAAGCTGCAAAACCACAACTCAAATCCATGTTTGTTGGACTCAGATATCTCAAAAATGCAGTACAGTCTCTCCCAAAGCCAGCCTCTGAGGAAAAACAAAATTACCAGAATACAAAGATGACACATTCTTTGTAACTGAAAAGAAAGTATTTTTCTAAGAAAAAAAAATAGAACAAGGATTCAAAGTAGAAATATATATAGGAAAAGAAAAAAGAGGAGAAACCAAATGTCAATGTTAAGCTAGGCCATAATCTACAAGGAGGGATGTAAGAACCTGTGTCTGGGGGTGGGTTGGACCTAACTATCCCGGAGAGAGGGGAAATTAAGTTTCTGAGGAGGAACCTGAATCAGAGTTGAGAAAGGAGCAAGCCCGTGAGCACCTGGCCACTGCACCCTGTCCAGGGTGCCCTGCCCTCCTTACCTGCCATGAAACCAGTCCTGGCACATGTCACACTCGATCATGAAGCGGGTCACATCGTAAGGCAGCCGACAGAGGCAATACACTGGTACTGAAGCCATCTTCACCAGGCCTTGGAGCGTTCTGCAGTGGGCCAGGTTCTTAGCTTCAAAAGGAGCAGGAGGCGGCAGCACGCGTCCCCTCTGGACCAAGCCTGGGCACAAACGACACTTTTACAGAGTGAATCAGGTCCCCCAGGGTACCAACCCTCAGCTCTCATTTGGACAGTTACCGCTGCCGCTGGGATGCAACACAGCTGGTTGGAGCTGTAGGGGGCAACTGGAGAAAGTCCACGGGCCGCTTTAACAAATAAAGAACAGCGCTCTGCTCTCGAAGCTTTATTTCCCCTCCTTACCTCCTTCAGCCCCCTGGGTCAGTGATAACTTCTTTCCGGATTTCAGGGAAAGATCTGACGCCTTTTCAGGAAGCTCCTTTAATCTCTAACTGCACCCTCTCCTTGTTAGCAACGCTGCTTCCCAGGGCTCTCTTTATTATGACGCAAACGACAGCCTAGAGGATGAGGCTGGGGGTATCTTAGAAAAAGCCCCTTCTCTCACTCCAAAAATAGAGGCAACAAGAGAAAGAATAGGGATCCCTGGAAGTCCTAAGATTACTCGAGAATTACCTCGATGCCTACAGGAACGAGGCAGACAAGACTAGGCACCCAACTAAAATCACAGTTCTGGGGTCGTGTTCCGAGAGTTTTAAATGATCTGCTCCTTCACTTTCAAACTTATTCCATCCACGACCAGACAGGAGTCTCATCACCCCAACAACTGAAATAAATCTCAATCTCAAAACTGATCAGCTCACTCACTACTTCAAAGCTGACAGGCTTCTGTTGCACCCCAGAAACTCAAATAGTTCGCTTCAAAACCCCTGAAACTGACTAGAATTTCCTCACACTCCGCAACCAAGTGAGGATTTTCCTCCCACAGCTCTGAAATTGGCAGACATCTCCTCACAGCCCCCCTCAAACTGACCAAGACTCCTCTGCCCCCTTAAAACTGACAGGTATCTCATCACAGATCCCAAAGTGACAGGAATATCCTTCCAGCCCCCAAAACTTAGGAGAATCTCCTCACGCCTCCCAAACTGACAGGAACCTCCTCATGCCCCAAACCTGACAAGAACGTTTTCGGTCCCGAACCCTACAGGGACATCCTCATCCGTAAAGCTGCAGAGAGTCCTCAAGCCCGCGCAGCTCAGTCCTACCCAACTGCCGGCGGCCAGGCTCGCTCCGGAGCGGCTCAGCGCCTTGATCAGCGGGAGGCTCGGCCGGCAGTTCCGGCCCCACAGGCTGCGCGCGCCGAATTGTGGGATCGTCACGGCAACGCGGCGAACCTCACTCGCCTTACCCTCGAGCCACCCGCTGGGTCTCGCTGGCCGCCCCGCGGTGCTTCAGGGCAGCTTTCTCCACAGCTCTGCCTCGGGCCCGGCCGTTAGGGCCTACTGGAGCCCTCGGCTCGGGCCTAGTCCGGCGGCCGCCCAATGAACGGGCTAGCGGCGGCGTCGCTGGGCTGGCAGGAGATCGCCGCGAGCAAACCAATGAAGAAAGAGACGAACCGGCGGCCGGGTTGGAGAAAAGCAGTCCGGAAAATCGCTGGGAGATGCTCAGTGGCGGTGTTAGGCAATTCGTAGTAGTCAATAAAGTTTATTCAAAACAACGAGGAAGTTGGGGCGGAGAGAGCAGGAGAAATACGGGGTAAACAGCTACCATGTTGAGAGTGGCGGCACCGCCGTGGGGAGGCGACCCAACCGCCATCTTATGAGGTCCGGACTCGCGAGGTAACCGCGGCAGAGGCGGGCCCCGGCTCCCGCGTGACGCCACGAGGGGCGGAGCGTCACCTTGGGAAGCAGGGCGGGGCTCGGCCACCTTTGGACCCGCTGGACTCCCCAGGTACCCAGTCGACGCAGAGGACCCGGAACCAAGAGGCGGAGGGGCCGCCATCTTAGGCGAGGCAGGCACTTGGCTCCATTTTGAGTGGGGCCAGAGCCTTCCCTGCCTTACCCCTCCTCCGGGCAAGCAGGGAGTTAAGCACCCACCACCAACACAGACACTGAGACACACACATACTCTCTATCTCTCTTCTCACTCCTCCCCAGCTTTTTCTTATGAGAGGGGGTGAACTCTACAACTGTGCGCCGCAAACTTAATAGGTGGCGGCAGCGTGGGGGAGGGGGGAGAGGGCGAGTACTCACCGAGGCTCTTGTTCACTGAGCACCTTCAGCAGGTCGGCCTGTTTCACAGGGTGTCAAGGTCTGCAAGAGAAGCTATCATCCCCGAGTAAAGACACAGGCTTAGGGAAGCCAAGTTGCTTGAGTTTCAGAGCCAGAAAGTTGAACCTTGCACTCTCTACTACCCCCGGGGTCCTGCCCTCAGTCCTTCCATAGAGCCTCTGTCAACTCCCCAGCTCCCTCTGAAATCTCTATTCTTTGGTACTCCCCAACCCCGTCTGGGCTTCCTTGGTGGCTCAGCTGGTAAAGAATCCGCCTGCAGCATGGGAGACTTGGGTTCAGTCCCTCAGTTGGGAAGATCCCCTGGAAAAGGGAAACGCTGTGCACTCCAGTATTCTGGCCTGGAGAATTCCGTGGACTGTATAGTCCATGGGGTCACAAAGAGTCAGACCCAAAGGAGCAACTTTCACACCCACACCACCCCCCTAGTTCAGTTCAGATACAATTGAAGGGTTTCCATATACCTGTCCCGTGATTTTCTCACTACAGCTTGAGGATGGAGTAGAATAGGTTGAGGGGATGGAACTCCACACACATGCTTCAGGGTGGCGCTGGTTTTCTCAGACGGTCTAGAAAATTCTCTAAGAATCCTCTTTCTATTTCATTTTCTTAATGGGTCCCACTGCTTTAGAAAAGAAAACATGTGTGTGCACACTGATTTCCTAAGTGATGAGGGGGCCCTGGGGATAGAATGATGAAAAAGAGGGACACTGCAGTGGGAAATTGCCAGCCAGCGCAGGAGACAAGGCTGCAGGTAAATGGTTGGAATACAGCATCCAATTAGTACACAGATACCTGTTGCAAAATGTAGAATGAGGCTAAGAAAGTGCCTCAGAAGCTGCTTGATGATGTCAAGGAAGATTTCAGAGAGACTTGGAGAGTATATAAAAGTTCACTAAATTAACAAGAACATTGTATGTAAAAGGATTATGATGTACAAACGGGATTCCCAGGTAGCTCAGTGATAAAGAATCTGCCTGCTAATGCAGGAGATACAGGAGATGTAGGTTGGATCCCTAGGTGGGGAAGATCCCCTGGAGAAGGGAATGGCAACCCACTCCAGTATTCTTGCTTGGAAAATCCCATGGACAGAGCCTGGTGGACTATATAGTCCATGGGGGCTGCAAAGAGTCAAACACCACTGAGTGCGTGCACATGCACAGATACACACACACACACACACACACACACACACACACAAGCAAACATTGTGTACAGATGCATGGATGCACATGGGAAAACATTTACAAAAAAGTTGACAAATTTTATGCTGTAAACAATAAGAAATCACTGTAGTTTTTGAGCAGAAGCAACAAGGTCACATTTGTGGCTTAGACAGAGGAAAATCCAGGTTTAGTGGGACCTAAAGCTTATACAGTTTGTGAGGTTCATTTCATTAGGAAAAGAATATAGACTTGCAAATGCAAAATTACATTAAAAGGTAAAGTTTTTCTAGAAGTCATTCTTACACCTGGAAGAATAAATGGAAAAGCCACAAACATATAGATGTCCCCACTAAACCCAAACTAAATTTATCCCACAAATCAACTTCTACTTAGCTGGATCTCAAAAATGTCTGAGGCAGCTCCAACACCACCTACAAGGAAAATATGACCAGGAAAACTCTTAGTAGAAAGGGACAGCAATTTTAACCAATTGTGGTTTAATTACACTTTCTAAACTTTATAAAACATATAACCACATAACCATATGGCAGGTGACAAACCCTGCAGCTAAGCTTTCTTAACTTCACACGAAGGCAAAAGGATGTTTGCTTAAGCAGCACATATATTAAGATTGAAAAGACACTGAGAAGATTAAGCATGGTCCCTGTATGAGTATGACATACAAATTTATGAAGGATTCCATAATAAATGGCAGAAAAGGGGGAAGGCAGAGAGGAGGCAGTTGGAATAGTCATGAAAAAAAGATGAGGCCTGAATCAGAATAGTTGCAGCAGGGGGTAGAAAATGATCAGATAAGTGGGCTATTTTGGAGGTTGAATAGCCAGGGCTAGGAGACTAATTGAAAATAGTAGATGAATGAGTGAAAGGAGTGTGAGTTCATTTATGGATTGGGTGTCATTTCTGGATGATGATGCCATTGACTGAGCCAGGATACATAGAAGGAAAAGCAGGTTTTGTGCAGAAGAGACTAAACTCAGTTCTGAATATGCTGGGTTAAAGAGTGTGTCGAACATTAATTCACTTACCCAACAATTCTTGAGCATCTACTATGCACTAGGTACTGTACTAGGTGTGAGGATGTAGTAGTAACCAAGATAAGGTCCTGGCCCTGGTGGTATTAACATTCTTCATGGAGATCAGTCAATAGTCATGTACAATTCATTCATATATTTATTGAACACCTACTGTAAATGATCAAGCCATTCAATCATAAAGGAAATCAATCCTGAATATTCACTGGCAGGCAGGACTGATGATGAAGCTGAAGCTTCAGTACTTTGGCCACTTGATGTGAAGAGCTGACTCATTAGAAACAACCCTGATGCTGGGAAAGATTGAAGGCAGGAGGAGAAAGGAACGACAGAGGACGAGATGGTTGGATGGCATCACCAACTCAATGGACATGAATTTGAGCAAGCCCTGGGAGACAGTGAAGGAGAAGGAAGACTGGCATGCTTCAGTCCATGGGGTTGCACAGAATCAGGCACGACTGAACAACAACTATATACAAGGTACTGTTCTAGACACTGAGGATTCAGACAAGGTCCCTGCCCTCCTGTGGTTCACATTCCAGAGAGCAAGACAATTGGGTTAAGTAAGAGAATTTTAAATTGCAGTGAGTGCTGTGAGGACAATAA